ATTAAAATCAGACACCACTCTGAGCAGCAGGACCACGCTTTCCACAGAACAACTGTGTTAACTCTTGAAACTGTGTCTGCAGTCAACCTACTTCACATATGGGGAGCAATATTATAGGCAGAAACATGGGTGTGCTATGGGGGCTCCAGTTTCTCCTTTTGTTGCCAACCTGTAAATGGAGGAGGTAGAAAAGAGAGCCTTGACGTCCTTTTCAGGGACACCACCAAGTCATTGGTTCAGGTATGTTGACGACACCTGGGTTAAAATCAAATCTCAGGAAGTCCAACATTTTACTGACCACATCAACTCTGTGGATAAATACATCAAGTTCACACGAGAAGATGAAAAAAATGGCAAGCTGGCTTTCTTGGACTGTGAGGTCTCAGTCTCTGATAGAGGACATTTGCAAACTGAGGTGTACTGCAAACCCACCCACACAGACCAGTATTTGCAGTTTGACTCCCATCACCCTTTGGAGCACAAGTTAGGAGTCATCAGGACTCTGTATTACAGAGCAGACAGTGTCCCCACTAGTTCAGGAGCCAGGTAGAAGGAGAAATCCCACACAAGACAGGCTCTAGAGCAATGTGGATATCCTAACTGGGCCTTCCTGAAAGCAGAGAAGAAACCCAAACAGGACTCCAGTCAGCCAACAGGTGAAAAGGAGGAACCCAGACCCAGACCAGTGGTCATTCCATATGTTGAGGGAGTATCAGAGAAACTGAGACGTTTATTTTCTAAACATAACGTCCCAGTGGCTTTTAAACCCCAAAATACATTACGGCAAAGACTGGTTCATCCCAAAGATCCAGTCCCCCGGCACAAACAGAGCAATGTTGTGTATGCTGTTCAGTGTCAGGAGGGCTGTGATCAGTCTTACATCGGGCAAACTAAACAGCCACTGGCCAAAAGGATGGCCCAGCACAGAAGATCAACATCATCAGGCCAGGACTCTGCGGTCTACACTCATCTCCAGGCCAGCGGTCACTCTTTCAGGGATGAAGATGTGCATATCCTGGACAGAGAGGAACGATGGTTTGAGAGAGGAGTATAGGAGGCCATCTTTGTGAAAAGAAATCGTCCATCATTAAACAGGGGTGGAGGCCTACGTGTTCAATTGTCCCCCTCTTACAATGCTGTGATTGCTAGTATCACTCAGCCCTCTGTGAATAGTAAACAGCCATCAGTGCGCTAATGATCCATTGTTAGGCTGATGGTCCTTCTTGAGCATGTGATCAGTTGGTTTTGGTTGTCAGCAGCAAAACTGGTTGATCCACTCTGAGAAGGTGCTATTTAAGAGACTGAGCTGAATACAGCACCTCAGACAGAGGAAGTCTCTTGGATGAGAAACGAAACGTTTCTACATTTTTTTTGTTGTTTTGCTTTGTTTTGGTTTTTTTTTTTTTGAATGTCCAGAGGACCAGATTTAACTTTTTTAGATTTTTCTACCTGGATTATTGAGCATGCATCAGGATATCTTCTTCTTAGTATTATTTTTTCGGCTTTCAGGGGTCGCCACAGTGAGTCTTCCTCCTCCATCTCACTCTGTCCTCACTCCAGTACCTCCATGTCCTCTCTAACTGCATCCATAGATCTCCTCTTTGGTCTTCCTCTTTGTCTTTTTCCTGTCCGCTGCTTTTCTAACATCCTTATACTAATATACCCGCTGCCACTCCTCTGGTCATGTCCAAACCATCTCAGTCTGGCCTCTCTAACTTGATCCCCCTGTTGTTCAACCTGTGATGTACCTTTGATGATCTCATTCCTAATCTTATCCAGCCTTGCTACTCCTAAGGAGAACCTCAACATCTTCATTTCTGCCACTTTCAGTTCTTTCTCCTGTCTTTTGTCAATGTCTCCAGACCATACAACATAGCTGGTCTCACCACTGTCTCGTAAACTTTTCCTTAAACCTTCACTGACACCCTTTTATCACAAATCACTCCTGAAACTTTTCTCCATCCTGCCTGGACTCTTTTTCACCTCTTTACCACACTCTCCATTTTCCTGGAGAGTGGACCCCAAGTTCTGGATGATGCTCACATATGGCTTTTTCTTTCTTTTTTTTCCTTGATAGAGCTTTAACGTGCATTTGTGAGTTTGCAGAGAATGATTTGTGGAAGTCTTCCTGAGCGCATGCTGTGATGCTCATATCAATCAACCTGTTTTTAATACGGTGCTGCCTGAGAGTCTTAAGATCAGACATCCAGTTGAGACTTTCAGTCCTGTACGTTGAAATCAGAAATGTTTCTGGGTTTTTGAATATATCTTTTTTGTTGATATGATGGGATATTCAAAGCTTCCCCAATTTTTCATTGAGAGACATCATTTTAAAATGGTTCCTCTATTCTTATTTGTAGAGATTTTGCAGACTGGTGAACCTCTGCCCATCTTTACTTCAGCCTTTCTAAAATGCTCTTTTTATACCCAGATCTCTTACTTTGGCTGTTGACAGCTTAATTACCAGTAGTTGAAAAATGCTCCTCCAGCTGTTTGTGGTTCATATAACATATTACAGCCTTTTGTTGCCTTTGATTCGTTTACTTTAAGATGTGTTATGGCCATAAAATTAGAAATTATCACATAATTTAAAAATAAATGGTACCATTTCTTTAGTTTAAGCATTTGATGTTGTTTCATTGTGAATAAAATATGGGTTTGCGATTTGCAAATCATTGCAATCTGTTTTTATTTACATTTGACAAAACATCCCAGCTTTTTGGAATTTGGGTTGCCATTATACGTAGCTCTCTGTTAACAAAGATCAACACTGCCTCAATTTGTCTTCCTTGGTTTAGCGTTTGTGTCCAAGGTCAATTACCATCTGTTAATACCATTTGTTTTAATATTTAATTTCACAATCTGTGCATGCTGTCTCCAAATACACCAGCTGTTAGAGCTGCTCCCAGTAACGTTATGCAACCACTTTTTTATACTCTTTGACACAATCTTAAAAGCCTTATCTTGACCTTGATTGTGTCTTTTTAATGTTTAAATTAAGGCCATACTATGAAAACATAATGAAACTGAATGAAAAATTGATCAAGAAGCTCTTGCTGTTATGGACACATCTTTAAAGCTTTCAATGACATTTTGATTCACCTAGCTCATCTTAGTATTGGTTAAGATCTGTTGCACATCTTTAGGGTTGCAAACCTCAGCGAGGTGTCAGGAAAAACATTTGGCTTTTCAACTTGACTTCAATTTACACCATTCTGCAAAAATATCCTGACACAATAATTCACAAAAAATGTTTTTTTGTTGTTGTTTTTTAAATGTCCAAATTTGTACTTTTTTCCCTTTTTATGATTGACATTGTTTGTGTGCACCAGTAATTATATTACTGTTGAAGCAGTTGTGCTTCTTCCCCACTTTGTAGGTAAGAAGTTGACAATATACAGCAGTCACTTCCTGTATTAAAAAAATCTGATCAACCCCTGACTTCTTTATACTTCACATCAAAGAGTTTGATTAAAAAAATAAGAATCTTAGCAAGGTGAAAGATTTCACAAGTTTTATTTGTTTATTTTCCTTCTTTTGGCTGATTCCTTCTGCAGGAGTTGCTACTGCGAGCAAACATGCTTAGTAGATTCGACAATGGTTTCATTCCAAATGCACTTCCAGACACAATCTGAGCTTGAACATGCAACCTCTGAATAGTGATGTTTCTCAATACTGAGTGTGCACAATTTTTTGCAACCATTTAAAACCCACAAATAATGGGGCAGATTAGCACCAGATAATAGCCGTTTAAGATATTTTCTATCAAAAAATACACAGCGTATTTTTTTCATCCATATTCAAAGACAAGTTTCACTGCCAATGTGCATTTTATTGTCTTAGTATGTATTGCAATGTTCTTCATAGGGGTGTCTATGTGCAACCACAAAGGTTTGTCATTCTCAACGCTCATTGCTAGGGTTTCCTGTTATTGCCACTGCACACAAATAACGACTTACACCAAGAAGAGGTGGATCTGGTTAAAATGCTCTGGTTTTTTTATCATTAAAAGGATGTGAGAATGGTAGAGAATATTTTCA